AATTGCTGTGTTGTGGAAATCTGTTCGTAAATGCCCGCAGCATGGTAGAGCTGTGTTATTCTACATTTCACAATCAATACACTAGGCGAAACTATTGGGAGCGTTCTTTGGGAGTCCCAGACTCGAAGAATAAATTATGGAAACAAATACGAGTAGTCTCTGATACTATAATTCCATTCTAAAACCTACTTATATATCTGTATGTAAATTGAGAAATATTCTCCATTATCTGTGGTGATCTCTCAAATTTCCCCTAATTTAAATCGCAAACTGTAGAGCAGTGGGATGAGCTGCAGCATGAAATAGCCGATAATTGGCCAATTGTATTGGGACAGATTCGACTTTGGCTTGAACAATAAGTTGGGAGCAGGCAGACCTTGCAACAGCCTCCTCTGATCACATCAACGTGTGTTTTTGGGCAGGGAGTGAGTTGAGAGAGTGCCGGCTGCCAACCCACTTAACGAGGTCGGGCCCCATAGCAGCACGTAGCCATTACCCATGTACACACTCGCAGTGTAGTCAGGCAGTCAGTCAGACATTACAACGAAGCCTCCACAGCCAAAACGAGACCATAGCGAAATATCAAGTATACGGGTCTATTCAGTCAGCGAGGGGAACAGCTCGTACTCGAGCTTATCGTTGTGGCTGCTGTCGGGGGTAATTATAATGCGCCATAGTCACGCCAGACACGCTGCATAAATATTAAAATTAAATAATAACAAATGCTAGAAAATAAATAAGCCAGACAACTGTAAAAACAATACGTAATACTCACGGCGCAGGGCAAATATTAACCAGCATTAAATTCCAATTGAAAAATGTTTTTGCTGCTGGTGATTGGGGAATTTTCGAAATGGGTGGCTGTCAACAGAATGGGACTGCTTTGTTCTTTCTCTTTATGAAGATGGCCTGTGTCTGGCACTCCCCCGAGTTTATATTTTAATTTCTGTTATGGGCCTGAGCTCGAGTTTCAAAAACCAATAATGCGGCTGCCATCATCAGCAACAACGGCACGGACAACGCCTGACGACAGCAACATGGCGCACAACAAGCAATAAAAATGGCATAAAATTCAAAATGAAAGCTAAATGCTGCTGGGTCGGTCATATAAACGCTCGTACATATACTCGGGCAACCCCCCCGTGAAACACCCCCTCCATGGCCGCTCTTGTAGCTGTGAGCTGCATAAAAATAAGTAATATCGTAAAAATTACAGGAAATAAAAATCGCAACGTAAATACGTGTAAGTGCGAGAGTCGGCCAACTTTCCCGACTTGCTGAAATTGGCACTAAAATATGACCAAAAGAAAGAGAGAGAGTGAGAGCGAGAGCGAGAGAGTGCGAGGAAAAGCAGTAACAATATGTGGGGTGGGACTCGAAGGTTCAAGTTGGCCATTACATGGCCATATTCTGGGCAAATGTTTTGAAAAATAAATAATTCCCAGTTGCCATAAATGTGTTTTTGCGGAGGACTCTCCGTTTTGGGGCGGTTGTGCCACGCCGATAAAAACAAATGAGATAAGTTTCTGCAACAATTATTTCAAACTTGAAATGGAAGGAAATTAAGCCAAAAAAGGACAAAGAAATAATCTTCCAAGTCGCAGCGTTAATCCTGCAATTAGGCTTCCAATTAGACTTTCACCCATGTCTCAAGTCAATTGTAATAATCATGCTGCTGGCCATCCAAGCCGCTGTAAAGTGTGCAACATTGATGGGCCACTGGACAAGCGATCGCCCTCGAATCGGTTACTTCAAGGGATTCCAGTGGTGGGGGCAATTTAGCAATGAAATGCACATAAATCGTAAGAGACAGGGGCCACAACTGCAGTGGAAATCATAGCCATAACTCTGCATGTTGTGCATTAATATTTCCTCTGCAACAGTAGAAACATCAGCTGCAACAGCAACAGCAGGAGGCAGCCACACTTTAGTTACAACTTTGAGATACCCTTGCAACTCGTTGACTTGCCTCTGGGATGCGTGATCGAAGTACCCCGCTGGAAAGGGTATAACAACAACAACAACAGCAATTGCAATTACCGTCCGTCGGTCCGCCTGTCCGTCTGTCCGTGTGTGGGCAAATTATGACAGCGAGGAGGGGCCCATAACAACAATTGCAACAGCAAAGCGAACAATTGCAACTGCAACATGAGCGTACAGCAGGCAAATGAAATGAGCTTTTAATCAATTTCCGGTATTAAAGCCCAGCCAAGCCAACCAACCAACCAACCAACCAACCAACCAACCATCCACTCAGGTATCCGCCCGTCCAACCATCCAATCATCCCACCACAGTGCTTGCCGCTGGCCGCTCGTTGTGAGCCATTGTTGCTGTGCATTTAATTAACAAACAATTTATATTCATAAACCCCAATCGGTCACATGCAAATGCACATATGATTGCCCGCTGGGAGAGTGCGCGGAAAAAGCAGAGCGCGGCACAACAATAAATACAAAATTGAATGAGATATAATTTCATTCAAGTGTGAGTTGTGGCAAATAGAAAATACAAAATAGAGAATAGAGATACTCTACCCATCGCGATGGGTACAGCCTGAACAAATCGAAATATTCAATCTAGGGATGGACTGTGGGTGCCGTTTTAGTATTTCATTTAATGGGTTCCTCTGCCTACGCCATGAAACACTTTACGAACTACTAAAGTCAACTACTTTTATGACCTCGCTGAGTGCCAGCTTCATTTTCGCAGCTATAAATCGATGTTTTAGCATAAACCACAACGGGAAAAGGTCACGTTTCAAAGAGCAATTAAATTTGGGAATATTATTAAAAGAGAGAGCTGCGAAAGGAAATTAAAAACCATTAAAAAATACATCAAATGGCAAGAGATTTGAAAAGTATCTGCTCTTTCCCTTCCTAAGTTCCGTGTCGTAATGTCCCACAAAGCTTAGATACCTTTGAGTTAGCATGCTAAAATTATATTTCACAATGTGAATATGTAATAAATATTGCAAATGCGTGGCATGGCAGCAAAAAACATGTGCACACAGATGCGCTTACATAAATAAATGTACAAATATGTGTACATATGTATAGATATGCAGGTGTGTATGTGCTTTTTGTGTAACAGAAACGTGGCACCGGAAAAGAGCAGTTGCAACAAGGCGAGTTACAGTGCCACCGTTGCCGTGGACTGTGCAGCAACAATATGAAAGCTGATTGGCCCCCCAATCGCACCGTTTCGAGATTTGTGGCTGCCACGTGTTGCCAGCACACTCCGACTGGTGCACATCGCAGACACATGTTCATTTATATTGCAACAATTGGACATGGCCCAGGGATGATGGTGGCCAAAGCCCCGACACCCAATTAACCCTGTCGTACAGGGAATACAGGGACCTTCTGGGCAGGTCTGGGCAGGGCACCACACACTGCATACCAGCTTAGCAAATCATTAATTAAACCTGGCCGAAAAAGGGAACCAGACACAAGAGCACCAAAAATTATAATAATGAACAACGCATGGGAAATAAACGCAAAAAGCTCTGCGTTCAGGCATGGGCATCCCTGTCCAGTGGCAGCGGCTCTGCAAACCCCCTCCCCCCAAACTAATTAGCATGTTGAAATGTGTTTAGTGTTAGTGTTGCTGTGTGTTACTGCTGCTTGTGGCAGACACCACTCAGAGGTCAGAGCGAGGTCCAAGCGAAACGAGCATTAAGCATGTGGGAAATGAAAATGGGAGTGGGCCAACGGCACTGGCAGTGGCAGAGAAACACATAAGTTGCAGCCAAAAGGGCAACTAACATTAAGGCAAGAGGTCAGAGATAGACAGGAATGTCTAGAATACAGATAGAATACAAATCTGTGCCTCAAAAATGATGAAATTCTATCGATAAGTTACCCAAGCAGCTAATTGTATTGCCCAGAACTGCTGGGCACTTTGTGGCTTTAATCGATCACTGCCAACTAAAAATAAAACTCACTCGAGTACACGCTCTTGTAAGTCTTCATCTCTCCCACAGAGTTCTGCCTTATTATATTTATGATGTTCCTTTTTGCTGTGCCATGGCATGGCATGGGTTGGCAGGGGATGGGTAATGTTAATGATGATTATGTACAGTCGCTAAAATAAAGTACTTACAGAGTGGAAAGCACATAACATTGTATGGATACAAATTGCAGAGGGAACAAATATAAATATGGGTACTTATATATCATAGTCTGTGGGCAGATTCGGTCCAACCGCAAACTCATTATGGCCCATTCTCCTTCAACTCTCCCTCTCTTTGGGGGCCCATTCTCCTGCCACTTCCACTTTTGCCGCGCTCTGTGGCAGAGCTTTAATGACGGGCGAATATTGTGTATAATATAGACATTTTCTATGGCCCCGACATGGCCAGGCGCTGAAGAGGAGACAAAACCGGCAGCAGTGAGCGGTAAGCCAGCAGCTGAATGGCAACAGCGACCTGGCAGTAACCACAAAAACTTGCCTCTTGCTTATTTTGTGTCTGGCATTGTCATTGTGGTTGTTTCTGCTGTTTCTGTTGCTGCTGTCACGGCTGTTGTTGCTGGCCAAAACGTGCAATTAAATGCTGTATAGAAGCTGCCGCAGCCATAAGCTATCGCCGATGCCCGCAGCAGTGGCCACAACTAAGGCTACATGGTCGAAGCCAACTTATTGGCAGTCGCTTGCCAAATGCAATGAATGAAAATTGCACACAAAAACACAAACAACAGAAGCGAAACAACAACAAAATAAGCAAAACGAGTAAGAGAAAGAGAAAGACACAGAGAAGAACACAATTACCGCAGAGAGGCATTCGGCAGGCATATTATTGATTGGCGACCGCAGAGATACACTCGACCAGAGCCCACGAGATGCTGATGCTGATGCAGATGCAGATGCAGTTCACACAGTGACTGAGGCTCTCTCACTAATGATGATGATGATGATGGCTAGTGGCTGTGGCTGTGGCTCTCTGTGAACGTTTTTGGCTGCCATTGACATTGAAAATCTGGCAATTTGCAATCATTGCAATTAGTTTTTATTCCCTGTCGGACCACAACGCGTCGCGTCGCTATCCGCCTGGCCAGAAGTTGTCCCATACAAATTATTGCCCAGGAGTCGAGGAAAGGAATTTGTGCGCGAAATTATTGGGTAATTTATAAACAGAAACGAAAGCTTGGGCTTGCATAACGAGAACGGTTTGTTCGCATTTGAGAAATGTTAATTATCTTTCGCGCATTTTCAATTTCTCATCGTGCTCGGGAGTCGACCCTGAAAACGTGAATTGCAATTGCAAATCGCTAATTGCCAGCCGATTATTTATAACCGTGCATTTGCAAAGTTCAAATGTGCGTTTGCTCGGAAGTAATTTGCTCGTTTAACGCGTCTATAAATAGCCACCCCTCCCTCTCCCATTCATCCTCTGATAGCGACGACAATCGTTGGGCCGCCAAAGCTTTCGCGTCAGCACTCACGGGGGCAAGGTGGCGTATACGTAATGGCATGATATGAGCCCCCAAGGCGAGGAGTGACGACTATGTTGTGTGTTTGTCATTCTCTTTGCATGTAGGAGCCTTGCTCCACATTTATCCCATGGGTTGTGCCCCGTTCCTCTCTCGCCTCCACCTCATTGAATCATTGAATTTTCAGCTTTGTTCTGGCTTCCGCTAACCTCTAGCTGGGAATGGGAAATGGGCTGTAATGAGTATCCAAGAAGCATCTATGGAATACGTGTACTGCCAGCTTATAGATCTCTTCTGACGCGAGCGTAACTCTGACCTCAATTTTGGCACACTCCGGGGCGTGTTTTCATTCAAAGACAGCCGTAAACTTGAACATTCTCAGTATTTTACATGCATTTCAATTACAGATGCTTCAAAGTGTCGAAGTACCTTTCAGTCGAGGCACTCGGCTGTTTTCTTTTATGCTTTTCTTTTGCCGCCTTTGCAGTGTTTGTGATTAGGCCCCCAAAGAGACGTAGTCCCATTCCCAAACCCAAACCCAATCCCATTCGCATTCTCTGTCACATTAATCATGGCAACATTTGCCATGCAATTAAGCAAATGAAGCCTGCATTTAAGTGCTGACAATGATGATGATGATGAGGGGTCTTCGACTCCGATTCTGGGGTCTGGGTGTTTGGACAGTGGAAATCTTGACGATATCATTAGGCTAATGTGGTTAGTCGTACATCGATAAGTGAGTGTGCCCCAAGCAGGCGCTTAATGCGCATTTAATACCCCTTTGAGTCATTTGAAATTCAATCGAGTCGCTCGCAAATATTGCCTACCCGCTCCCGCCTCCCCCTGCGTGTGATCAGAACAAAGAACGCAACGCATTCGATTTCAATTGAATTCGAGTCGAGGCGAGTCGAGACGAGTCGACACTCATTTCTGGCAATTCATCAAACCCGAATCACAATTGAAATGCAATTTTCTGATTTTGTGATGTGGCAAATTAAAAACCGGCAGTCGCATATCACAATATATCAGACAGACAGCAACAGCAAAAAACAAACCCATTGACGCAGACCGCAATTCAATCAGTCAACGTTGTCGTGGCCTTTTTCGTCAGTCTTATTGGCCATGCACTTAAATGGCCAACAAATCCCCGGCTCACCGTTGCGGCCAGCTGTCCGTTTTCAGATTTCAGGCAGCCCAAGACAGCGCAAATGTCAAACGTATTCCGCCATAATTAAATTATAAATATTACAACAATTTGCTGCTTTCTTTGCGCAACAAACAAACAGTTCATTTAAGTATTTTGAGCACAAGTCGCCATTGCGCATTCGCCACGTTGCATGGCCAAATGAAATCGCATTGAAAGCCAAGCGAAATTGCATTGAAAGTGAACAAATAAGTTCGGTTTATGGGCACACAACGAATGGGGAATGCACTAAGGAGAGGCATTTCCGCTGCCAAGTATAATCCCACATCCCATGTAACAGCGATAGAAACCCAAAGGATAGAAACCCAGAGTGTGAATGTAATTTCTCGTGCTCTCTTTTCCGGCTGCCTGCCACACTCCCCTCCTGTCTGGGGGTCGCCAATCACGTGTCGCCAACATGATTTATTTCGTCAATTTATGCCAAAAGTGTAAAACGATTTTCTGCCGTGCCAAATGAAATATTATGACGTGCACTATCATTTACATATGTACATGTGCTTCACAGCCTCCCACTTGTCGTTGTGTGTGGGCGTGGCATTGCGTTTAGGAATGCGACAGTTGACTGACTGAAGCCATCTCTGTCTGTCGTCCCTGCACCCCCACTGCTTCAATGGGTTGGCATTTTGCAATTTAGCAAAAAGGGAAATTACATTTAAATTGAATTGTAAACCGAATAAATTGTGTGGATGTTGCAGAGGTCTGTGGGGGGGGGATGTGCTCTGTAAATTTACGATTGAACTGTGGAATTACATTCGAGTATTTCTGCGGGTGCTCTTCTGAATAATTTAGCATTTGAAAGTTATCAGTCACCATGAGGGCTTTTCCCCAAAGTGGAAATTGCCGAAAGAGTGAGCCAGGGATAAAAGGAGAGGGCATTGATGAGTGATAGAGTCAATTAGCAAAATGCTAAGAGAACTTTATCAATTTCCTGTGGTATCTTCTGCCATGATTCATTTAGTCTGATTTCGATTGGAAAAACGTGGCAGCTTTAAGTTGTATCAAATGCTAAAAGCAAATGCAAAAGTGTCTGCGGAATAAAATGAAAATTTTCATTTATTTAGCATATGGAAATATTGCCACAAAGCCGACAGAAAAACCCAAAGCACACACAAACACAATTAAAACCCGCATTTATATGGGATGGGATGGCAAAGAGGTTAAGTGAAACAATTCTATTTAATCTGCCAGATAGATTATATCCTCCATGCACAAGAGGTTGGGTAAACACATGGAGCTGGGTTATGCCCGTAGAAATGGACGCAACGGATTGCCACACCGCAAAATGGCAACTAATTTAATTAATGGGAAACAAATGCGTGACCAGGATTGCAGCCCCATACCCAATCACTCTCCATTCAAATACAAATACAAATACAAATACAAATACAAATGTGTATCTGTATCTGTAGTTGCATACATCAGCGGGGAGTCAATTAATGTTGTCCAATTGGATGCTGATTTAAGTGCAATTAAAGTGCAAATTCTCAAATATTTTTTCTGCTGATATGCCAGACGTCCATGCGATATGCAAATGAAGCAAATGCCAGCTAAGCGCAATGCCAGTCGCATACGTACTCGTATCTATGTATATCTCTGGCCAAGTACGAGCACAGATAGCCGTAGCCATAAGATACCAGAAACCAGACAGCGGCAGCAGCTACACTCTACTTTTATCGCATGTGCATTTTCTTAGCCCACGACGCCAAAGACGACGATAAATGCAAATCTTGACAGTTTTCTTTAAAACATTTTTATTTATTTCGGTTGCAGTTGCAGTTGCAGTTGCATTTGCGTTCCGTTCCGTTCCGTTTCTTTTCAATTTCGCTTCGTGGACGAACAACGTTTCTTGGCTTTAGTTTTCATTGTCTGGCGGGGTCTGAGGGTCTGTGGGGGGGCCACTGGGAAAGCACGTTTCGTGCTCGCATATCCGCCGTGCTGCAGCACTAGTTGCACTTCCAGCAGATATGTGGACAAAAATGTATTTCACACACAACCCACCAACTCACCCTCACTCGGACCCCAGCAAGATTGTCACATACAGCACCACTCGCTTCAGAGTTGTCCAAATAGACTCGAGGTGGCTTGAAGAACTTGAGGAAAGATACAAGTCTTTAACAATTGGACACCCATTATCCGTCTCAGACAAAATTCTGTAGATACTGCAATCAATATCAATTCGTTGCTTATCTTTTCCTTTGAAGTATTTGCTCAGCTATAACATGCCGCATACTTTTGCAACGTACTGTCAACCAGTTCCGCCTGACTAGTAGTTCTTTGCTTCATTGAAAAGATTTAAAGCTCTTCCACTCGAAGATGGTTTCTCATGCGTTGGCCGCATTTCCTGTGAATCAGCTCGCCCATTCAGTGATTAACCATTGAATGAATGCACTCATCTGCATTACAAATAAGTAGCGGCTCTTATGATACAGGGAATTAATTACAGGGGAATTTTTATTAATCCATCAGATCCATTTCGCGGACGATTACAGCTTCCGTTTGGTATCGGGATCGGGTTTGCCAGCCCCTGCCAAGGGCACAAATGTTGTTCGAGTAATTGTGTTTATCCGCCCTGTGCCTGGATGCTCACAATCACAATCTAAATCTCAATATCGATTGGCATTTACCTGCTCATACATAATTCATGGCGCTGGGTGGGTCTAACGTTTAATATGGAAAACAATTAATTAAACTCTCAACAACAAGCGTCACGACTGGAAGCTTAGAAATTACTTAATAAATTACTTTCATTAAAGCCACAAAGGAAAAGTCGAACCAGTCGGCAGCAAAGGGCAGGGCACGGCACGGCACGGCACCCACTTCCCCTTCCCTGCGTCTCCCCATCCGACTTTCCACCCCACTGGATGACACCGCCAAGGCGTTGATTTATATTAATCGACCCGCTTGTACAGCTCAAAGCATTATTTATTTGAGGCAGCAGCAGAAACAAAGCAGCAAAAAAGAATATGCCAAGTAATAAATTGAATGAAATCCACACAACGCGCTAGTATAGGGGTGATATATATAAAAATATATAAAGAGATCTGCATTGGCGAGGAAAGAAAATGCAAAATATGCGCTAATTTTTTATTTAAATTGCGTATGCCAAAGAAACGATTCGGAACGGAACCAATGTGCGACATGATTTACGAGTATTGGCGAGTAGAAGAGTCCCCTCCATGAGCGGAAAATGTAGCAGTGTGCGGGGCAGAGCGGATTCTCGAGTGGGTCACAGTCAACTGTTCCAAATATTATACTAAAGCCGGGAGTAAAACACAGAGATTGGAGGATGGGTTCTGTTGAAAATCGGGCCAAGGAAATGCTGACTACAAATTGCAGTTGCCAGCCGGACCGAACCAAGAAGAAATTGCCTCATGATTACGTCGACTGTCCGTTGTGTCCGCCCGCATGTCCGCCTGTCCGCCTGTCCGCCTGTCGGTCTTGGTCCGTCACGTCCATGTCGTCTGGCTGTCTCTTTGGGTCTCTGA